CTATCAACATTTAATTTTCTATCAATTCGTTCGAATCAAGATGATGCATGTATTCTATTAAATCGTTGCTTAGAACAAATGGCTTTTTTGACTATTAATCATCAACAAGCAGAAAATTCTTAGATTAAACCTATTCTTCACACTTTGAATGATGAATTAAGAGCTGAACAAGCATATCAAAATCAAGTTTTCTATTTTATTCATGAAAAATTAGTAGAATATAAAGCCTATGTTAATCAATTAAATTTACAATCACAAATTCAAACAAATCTACAAGATTTTATAAATCAAATGCCCATTACCATTCAATTTCTACATTTTAAAACCGAATTACATAATCCTATTCATTCAGAATTACCATTAAAAATCTTACGACATGTACTTGATTCAATGGATTTTCTCAAGATTACCAAATGGATTTATAATCTTAGTCAATTTTATCTTCTTCTACATAAGACTTATACTCAATTAATTGAACAAGATGAATTTCATAAAATAACATTAGAAGAATTATATAATCGAGGTCAAAAACATTATAATGAACCACATCAATTTCAATATTATCATAGAAATAATAATTATTCATTGATTATTGATAAAGGAATCGAAGCTGTCAATGCCTATCATAATTTTACCGATGGTCTCATTCGACCAGGTGCTTGTGATCAAACTCAACATTTCACTAAAATTACACGTCAAACACCCATACATTATTTAGTTACAACAGCAAATTACGATGAAGGAGATATTGTTATGCGCATACTCAGGTAATTCTTTTCAGAATAATTAAATATTTATAAGAACTATTGTAATTTTCTGAAACATGATGTATGAAAAGTATTGAAATTGTAATAGAGTAAAAATTCGGACATACTCCCTCACAGAGGATGATAGACGCTAAGAGCTTGTCATTTTAACTTAATTTTCATTAACTAAAGATTTTGTAAATCAAATACAACCAAAGATTTTATTTTATTAATTTTAGTGTTCTAATTGACTATCACAATAATCTATTGAATTTACTCGAACAAGAAATGAATAGTAATGATAATCATATATTTGGAGCTTTGAAAAATTTAGTTAATAATTTAACTTCAAAAGAAGTATCAATTCTGCAAATCGTACATGATAATACTGGTATGATTACATTGACTGATAATGATTGTTTATCGATTGAACAATTATCTTGTGCAACTTTAATCAATGAAAATGATAAATATTTTCAACAAGAAGATACTAAATTTAATTTTGATTTTATTTATTTTCAATCGTATATTATTCGAACATATCTTCTATTTTGTCGTATTAATTATCGACATATTAGTCAAAATTATCAATGTCATAGAAGACGAACACAAACAATAACAGATGGAGAAATATTAGATCTTGATGAAAAATATTCAATTGAATTATCTCATCAACAATTAGAAAACGATTGGAATCATTTGAAAGATATGTACTTAGACAAACTCTATCATGGTCATAATTTTCTTCGACAAATAACTATTATTTTAAAAAATTATCAAGATGATTTATCTCAAATAAATCTTTATGCATTTGTTCAATCATTAGATAATGATAATAATTTATTTGAACAAATTCAACAATATGAAATAAAAGATTTTCAATTATGTTATATTGATCATATTCGACAATTATATTCAAATTCAATAAGTGGTTTTCAACATTTATTTACTGATGTATCTCAATTACTTCGAATTCCAATTGAACTTCAACTTGATGATGAACTTAATCAAATGTTAACAGCAGCAATTATTAGTATTGATTATAATGATAATATTGATAAAATAAAATTTACAATACAAACAATAACTGATTTATTAAATGATTTAAGATCAATTGAACATTTTCTATTACGACAATCAACTTATTCATTAAAAGAAACATATGATATTCTAAATATTGAAAATTCTATTCTTGCTTTTATACCAAATGAAATAAAATGTGAAAATTATGTTGCTGTAAGTATTCATTTAATTCGTATGAGAACAATACTTCAAGAACGAATTGTTAATATTGAAGAAAAACAAACTAAACAATGGAATGAAAATTTTAATATTAAATCTTTCGATGAACAAGAAAAACAAGTAAATCGTTTTCTTGATTTCCTTAATGAACCATCAGTATCGAATGAAACATTACCAAATATAACTGATTCAGATGATAATGATATTTGGCCAGAAGTTCTTCATGATACGATTAATTATTCAAATATAGATAATTTACTTGATCGTGATGATTTCTCTCGACAACCACAACATTCAATAATCGAAGAACAATTAGAATATTCATCTCTATTTGAATTACATATTAAATTTGTTCCATTAACATTATCAACTTTATTTGAGCAAATTCATAAACAATGTCAAGAAGTACAAATACAAGTCGTACCTGTGACTAAAGCACAAAGATTTGCCATCACTTATCCAGATGGAAAAGTACATATTTACTTGTGGAAAAGGGAAAATTTATTTGAAAAATTACGTTATCTCTTTGATAAAGAAAAATACGATATTAATACATTTGTTGTTGTTGATAAGAACGAAATTTTTGTCGATTTTACAAATCCAAATATTCAATTACAACATGAAATATCTCTTGAATATTTTATTATTGAAAAGACATTATTATTTTCAATTCAATTCAATTATCAAAAAAATCTATTTGAATATTTTTCCACATCGAAAAGTCATATTTCTATAATTATTAATCGTTTTATCGTTGATAATAATATTAAACTCTCATTAAACAATATTTATCTCTGTTTCTTCGATCAACATGGAAAAATCATCGACGATGGAACCATTGCTGATCTAACCAATCAAATAGATCATCTTGACAATAAAACAATTTCGATTACAGTTACACAAGAAGATAATCAAACGAGTATGCTATGCGAAGTCACTTTACGACCTAAACAAAGTAAGCTTATAATTAGATATTTGTTCAGGATTTTTCGCGATAACTCAATTAAGTACTAACATAGTAGGGTCGGATTATAATCGCATGTACCAGTAGAATATTTCCTAGTGGTTAAAATGTTTGACACATATTTACAAGATGTTCTGTTCGGATCTCGGCGTCATCAGACATAGAATGAAGTTATTAACGGCTTTTTGTCTAGAATCATCCGTCTGGTAGCAAATTGATCATATAGTTGACATACGCATAAAGACCCTTATAGAGAGTGTATGATCAGTCAGTATTTAAGGAGAGCTTAAGTGATTAAACAGAAGAACTCCGAGTCAAGCCGGCCTTTTTGTCCATGACTACAGCTAGTAATAATTTAAGGAAAAATATTGGTCTATTGAAACTGTCTTTGGGCGGCATTTTATACCGCAAGATATTTGAAAAAGCAGGGTGGTTGAAGTATATCTTTTAAATTCTATTCTTTAACTTGCTCTTATTCATATGTATAGATACAGAACACACAAGTTTATTTCATCCGACAACAAAATGGCAACAAATTGAACAATGGTTGAAAAATTTTACTCAATTGATTGATTCTCCTGTCAATGAATTTACTTTTCTTGATAAAGAACAAAAAACAATTATCGATGAAAATCAATCAATATGTTCAACAATAGAACAAACAAAATCGGCAGTTATCGATGGAATTAGTCGAGATATTACAACTAATGTAACTTTCTCCTATGAAAATAATAGTGTATTGATACAAACATTAAAATCAATGATAATCTGTCATGTATTAAATAATGAACGTCTTCTAAGACAATTACATCTTATTGATATATCTCCAAATGATTGTGTTCTTGTTTTGGGAGAAATTAATGAACGAATTCTATCTCAAGATGATATTCGACAACCTATTGGAAATTATTTAAATACCAATAATGAGCCAATTCATTTTCGTATATCAATTGCAATTCAAATATTGAAATATGATGATCAACAACCATTACAAATACTCTTATCAAATAGAAATACAACTATACAACATATATTTCAATTAACACAAGCTTCAATTCATATTTACAAATATTTAGCTTCGAATTATTCAAAAAAAATTCTTGATTATAATGAAAAACTTTCAAATTTGATTGATACGAAATTTATTCTCGTTAAAGAATGTGAAACATGTCTTGTGTCAATTAAAAAACCTAAAACTAATCAATTGATTGATATTGATGATGAAAAAAACGAGATTTATCAACGATTTACTATTTTTGCTACGATTGGTGATATTTACAGAGAAAATCAAATTGATATTGATCATCAAAATCTTTTATATTCAGAAGATTTCGTTCCATCAATAGAAACTCAGTTAATTTGTTTTTCATCTATATCACCTATTCGATTTACTTTAATTAATGGTAATTTACCGATTACAGTGATCATTGTAAATATGGAAGATCAACAATCGATCAAATTTTATTGTTCATTGACAATTACAGTCAAACGTTTATCTTTCATTGCTTGTCAATTGTTCAATTTAAATAAAAATTATTATCGATTGATGCACGTTGATTGTTTACTTGATGATGATGAAGTTTCTCTAGATGATATTGATTCAACGATGAGTCAAATTCAATTTCAATTAATTTCAACAGCATCAAAAAAGAGTTCTGTCAGATATGATGATCAAACAGTTGTCTTGCCTTGTTCTAATGAAACTTCGGCAGCAACAATTATCAAAGAAACATTAAAAAAATTACATATACCACAAGAAAATTGTCATATCTATGAATTGATGGCTTTAGCTGATGATCGAACACCAATTGAGTCGGATATGTCTATTGACGATGTTTATGAATTATTTCCTTCGCGTCCAACAACAATACCATTTGAATTGATAAAGAACAAAGAATAGAAAACAACACTATAGTTTCTCTTAGTAACTATGTTTACTTTGTTGTTTTTTTAACCGCGATAATAAAACTTGTCTTATATCCATTGACTGCCGTCATTAAAATAAAAATCCGTCTTATTGATGATCTTGTTTTTTTATGAAACATAAATTAAGACATATAGGACACTATTGTAACGAATACTAAAGATACCGAGGTTTATAATGGTCTCTAGCTAAGGTCTGCCATAGTCAGCGGGACTGTAAAGTTCTATTCTATATATACTTCTAACACTCCTTGTAGATCGTGTTTTCACAAACGAGATAGATCAGGAAAAACTAAATCGGCTTTGCTATTACAATAATCGAATTTTCATTGTCTGTTCTTTTTTATTCATTCTTTGAATTTCATATTTAATCTGTGGCTTCTTTTTTATTAAAATAGTCCTTATACAAGTAAAACTTATCTTTTCTGTCGATCAAATCTACATTTTTATTGATACTTATATACAATGATAACATTCATTTTGAAAAAAATACAAACGATGTTTTTCATCTTTAGATTAATTGAAATCGAAAATATCCATTATTACCTCTATGGTACACATATTTTGAATGCTTTTTCACCATTGAATCATAATTGGAGATCAAATAAATTCTTCTTTTCAATTTATGCGTAGTTTCAGTAGAACCATGAACTTTTTTTTATAAATCTAGAGGAGTCAAATAACGCAGAAATCGTCGGAAGTAAAAATCTATTTCATATGAAAAGTATCAAGATACTTTTCATGATAAATTTTTCATTTTTGGTCGGAATCGGGACTAGGACCAATACTTTTTCATTGTGAATGATACTTTGTATGGTCGTGTAAAACTTGGTAATTGTTCAATTATTTTTCCTTTCTTCACCTGATCTGATGCATTTTGGGATGGTGTGAGTGTGGATAAAAAAAAAATATTGATCGCTGCTCCTCACCCAATGCCCACACCCTTATTTTTAGGCTCATCTGCCTCTAGATAACGAATGAGTCGAGATTTCGGAAATATTGAGATAAAAGTACTACGCCGTTTCGAACATAAAAATAAATTATCACCATTTGATTCAATATGATGAATTACTTGCAACTAACTGATTTTCTAATTGATCACAGGTTAACTAGCTGAAACCGGTGAGAAAGACTCAGGAAAAACCTTATAATTTTTAAACGATTTTGAAGACCTTATTTGACTCCGAACCCTCAATATTAAGAATATCAAATATGTGTGTAGAGAGCACAAAGATTTCCATAAGTCGAGTTCCACTGAACTGATTTTAATGAGCATTTTTTGTTTTACTGACCTCAATGTGATCATGCAATTCTGAAAAAATGAAGTTTGCATCTGCTTTAGTTTGTGAGAAATTACAGCAACAGCTAAAGTATGTAGCCTCTGGTGCCACTTATCTGAACTCAACCAATATCATTTTTATTCCATTACATTTCTTTTAAAATGATTTTTTTATCTAAAGTTGTAGAACTTTCCAAGCACTTTCAGATAATGTGTGTTCTCACGTTAGATGTAGAGTAACTTTGTTATTTCTAAGATTTAATGAAAACTGTCTCATTTCTCAAAAATATTGTTCACTATTTTGAATTCATACAATGGAATAATATCCCAAAAACTTCATGCGAAAATCTTTCTCCATTCAACGGAAGATTTAGTTTTACTAGCATAGTGTAGAGTGATATTTTTTGAAATTTTCGTCTACTAATACGGATTGATATATGAGAATAGCGTACAAAAATCGGCTTTGACGCCGCTCTATCGAATGCAATACTTTCTTGTCTCTCATTGATAAATTTATTTTTATTGAGTTCTTTTCTCGAACAGTACAATCACTGGGCTCTTTACTCATATACTTTAAAAGGTAAATGTAACATAACATAAGATAAAAAGAAACGAGTCCACCTACTTATTGATCTATTATATTTTTCATTTTGAACTTTGATCATGTTTGTCGTCAGGCAATTGATCTGTAAAACAAACTATTAGAATACTGTCATAGTTCAAGTTGATATCGTTCTCTTCATGAAAAAGATTAACAGTGCTCATATGATAATGTTTGTTTTTCGTGACAAAAATATTTATATTACTCGAATTGATAATTTTCTCTGTATGCGAAACATCAACATGATTCTTATTATTATGTTACTTTTCATGATGAACACAAACATAATCATAATGGAAAAATTTACGCATATAGAAAACATTCTAATGGTTATATTTCAATGCATGATAATGAACAAAAAATTATTACGATTGATTGCAATAAATTCTTAAATATGAAAGATGTAAATTTTGAAATTATACTCAAAATTTTATTCTGTAGGACTATGTGTATGCAATGAACAACAGTTCCACAATGATGATAGTCATGTTAATGTGAACAAAATTTTTGAAGTAACTAATAATAATGGTGTTAAGAACACAATATTCTTCACTACTACTTGGAAGAATTTTGCTATCTCTAGCAACTTTATTGAGAACATTACTTTGAAGTCTGTTCATATTAAAAAATTTTGTGTGTAGTAAAATATGTTGCTTTTCTTGATCAGAAATTACTTTACGAATTTAATAACACGAGAAATACCTGCAAAGGATAAATGTGTCCTCGATTAATAACAGAAATCTTAAAAGTTCTAGCTGAGAATATATTTTTTTTAAAAAAATTATGAATAGATGATTTTTCACTAGCTTTGAAAGACTTTTCGCTTAATTCTTCCTCCGTACTAAGAAAAATTAAACAAAAGTTATACTGTCATAATTGATATTTTGGAGTCAATATTGTCCTTACTAACTCATAATGTTACATTAAAAATAAAGAGCCATGAATAGATTTCGAGAGATGAATCAAAAACTAATTATGTATCATACTGCATAGGATTGAATAGAAAGAAGACATTTTTACTTCCTGTGTGATATTTGAGGATAGAGAATACAGTAACGTAGATACTGTATTTTTGCTCGTTTACGACGCATATGATGAATAATACATTCATAACTAGTTTCTATTTTCGAATGTCATGCCTGACATACGAAGGTTATATTTACCGTCACGATGAATCAGTTGAAAACTAGATCTAGTATATAAACACACACACACACACACACACCTTAACGTTAAATCAAATCTCTAATCCCATTTCAAAGACATTAAGCTAATCTAACGTATTCATCGATATTTATTACATCCAACAAGTATGGCTAGTATTATGAAGATCTCGATCATCGTCACTTTTGTTGCTTTTATTATAATGGCCTATGCTGCACCCCAATACCAAGCCGCGATCGGTGTTTTAGCAGTCGGCAGAAGTAGCTCAGAAGCTCGTGCTCTCTCAAAGCGTCTCGTAGCGAGAGGCTGTGTTGCGGATGGATGCAGTTGCTATGTTGGAACTCCACAAGGTCAATACTGTTATGGCAACAATGTTTACGAATGCAACTCCAGTGGTGGTTGCTGTATTTATGGATATAGAAAGTCATGCGCTGACTGTGGCCAATTACATTGTTATGCACAAATTCAATAGCTCACATAAACACTCTAATTTTCGCAATATATTATTCAACGTTAATTCAACGACCTCATTGTTTCTTTATTTTTCTTATAGTCTATTAGTTTTCAATAGTATTGAAGAATCGCCTTACCAATATGCATTCGATGAGATGAAAGGAGATCATTTTTGTATATTTGCAAGGAAAGTAGCAGTGTTTGATGGGAAAATTTTTTCTAGCCATTTAAAAAATTGATGTTTCTACATTAATCCTTTGAAGATCGTGTTGTTTTAATCGAAAAGTAATTCTGCAATCACGCGTTTTTTTATTTGACTGAAAAACAGCAACATAAAAACCTTATGATAAAAAAAAACAATTTCCCTCATCTTTTCAAATACCAGAAACTCTTATTTAATCTACATAATCTATTAATTCATTGTCATCAAATTCGTCAATGAAAAGAAGAATAGATATACATTATCATAATAAAAAAATGAAGATTTGAAAAGAATCTGAACTAAAACTTCTCTAATGTAGGCACGATCGGGACTGGTCAAAAGGACTCACGTTATTAAGATGCTCGCTATTGAGACAATTGCTTTTCGATCGCTCAAAATGATCTTTTTCTTCTTTTCAACAATTTATTAATTCAATCTTTTTAATCAGAGATAAACTAATACGTATTGACATGCTTTGATATTATTAGCTGTTAACACAAAAACATATACAGAAAATATCATATTTTTTTTCATGTCCTGTGCATGAGTAATAGAACATTTGTTGCTCACATTACATAGATTGGTATTGCTCATGGGAGTAGAGATAACAGTACTCATTGTAGAAAGGGTTACTTCTAGCAAAATTTGCTTCGGTGGACTATCACCATTCGATTCAACAGAGGAATATTATAATATTTGTAACTCAAGTATCGAGATTCATAACATAGCTATTAGGATATTTCGTGAATCCACGGTATCCATGTGCCGCTAAATTAAAGATTTTGAGTGAATATAATGTGACGAGATGGATACCTGACTATGAGATATCTATGTATTATAGAGTTGAAGGCTTTGAGTCAGTTTGGCGTAACGAGTTTGGAATTCATTCTGTTACACCAAATTCACTTCACAGCTTCAATTTTGTAGATAAATGAGTATCGACTTTGTTGTATATTGGAGTTTGTAGTTGGTTGTTATCCAGCGTATAAATATAATGACATTTCTATCGATTCCGTATGGTTCGAAGGACTTATTTTAGTTGACATTGGAATAGTATTGTTTTTAATGCTGTAATAAAAAACATCATTATTATTTGAAATAAATAACTCGTTTATTGTTAATTCGATTTAATTTTATTTTGAAGTTCACTTGTTCAAAGAAGATTTTTTTAAGATTATTATTCTATAAATAAATAATAATAAGTTGACTATATTTATTTTGCTCAATAGCATATATACTTAGGGCATATCAAAAGTAGTGGCGCCATTATCTTATTTTCGTATTGAAAGGTTGAAGAAATTTTCTTTTTTTTTATGTAGTGATAGAGAAAACGATGCTCTATTTTTCTATGCCATTTGATCATACTTTAACTAATATCCTAATAATAAAATTTCGATAAAAACTGTTTTTGTGTAAAATTGAGTCTGTTTAAAAAAAATAATGGCCGTGGCCATTTTTACAATAACTCAAGAACGGAAATAACTAGAGAGCTGTAGTTTTCATCGTTCGAAAGAAGAGATAAAGATGCATCAAATTGTATATTACAGATTTTTTTGACATGAATTGTTTAAGTTTTTCAATAGACTTCTTTGAAAACAAATCTACCCCGTAAGGTATTTATGGTGAATAGTTAATTGTTACCTCTATATTCAAACCACTAATGGGAGATCTAAAAATCTGCATAAGATTCAGATGTTTAGAATTGATCACTCAGAAGTGATAGCTATATTAGTCGAAGCTATAAGCGATTTTTCTGGCAATTTCTGTAAAAAACAGTTTTTTTTTTTTTTACTATTTTCTTTTGGATAAGAAACCATTTTTCTACACTTAGAAAATTGATTAAACAAACTTCAGACAGCATGTTAAAAATAAATGTAATATACGGTTTGGTGCATCTTCATCTTCTCTTTCGAAAAATGAAAATCGCAGCTTTCTGCTTTGTTTCTATCAAAAGTTATTCAAAAAATATCCACTAAATAGACATTAGTATCACCGTCATACTTGAGAGAAGAACACACCTTATCGAATTTTTATTATTAGGATATTAGTTGAATTATGATCAAATAGCATAGAAAAATAGAGCATCGTTTTCTCTATCACTGCATAAAAAAACAAAATTTCTTCAACCTTCCTATATGAAAATAAGATAATGGCGCCACTACTTTTGGTATGCCCTAAGTATTTCGACAATATTTTTTTATCTCAGGGACATGGAAACATTGAATGATTGATGAAATTTTTCTTTAAATGTTATTGATCTTTCAACGTATTTGTTCTGATAAGCAGGGAGTTATATGTGGAAGATTTTTTAAAATATGGTATATTGCACCATATGTGTGTTTTATAATTACGATATTATAGTACAATGAATGGTTATATGCACTGATGAATACGATAACCGATGGTATATGATGCATAATCATTCTTAATAAATTGTGGATTGAATGTTTTTAAAACACAGTACAAGAAAAAAAAACTCTGGAGAAAACATTAAAATTTTTTATTCACGATGTTTAATGGGATTTAATTTTGTGAACTTTTCTCTAAATCAATTAGTTCACAATGTGTTTTATAAATCTCTATTCTCATGATAGAGATATACATTTTATGATAGTATGAAACTTGTGTCGAATGTTATCTTGTCACGAAAGACAGGTTCCACTCATATCTAAACTTATCGATTCTATAAGCACATGGTTTACTACACGTCGTCGTATCCTTTTGGATCTACAATCACTCAATAATCTATGTTATAGATATTGAACGAAATATTACAAAGCTTTTACAATATCATCGAATGATTACGTACTTTTAGATCGATTTTCCCCCAATGCACATAGATTTCAATGAGAGAGAAGTGGATATGAGTATATGCTATGGAAGAGTGTTAACGAAGCTTAATAAAAACGATCTTGAAAATTTCATATTATACTCGAAGACTTTTTAATATGACGATAGTGTAATCTTTTATTTTATTTCTTTAGGATCGTAACGGCCAGCAGGCCTACAGATAATTGCTCAATGGATTGATGAGCCTAAACAATCTTCGGATAGTGAAAAACTTTATTATTGATGAGATTTACAATCATTCTTTCACTTATCATTGTCATCTTTTGAGTTCATGACGCAAATGAATTACAAAATAATTCAAAATTTTTATATTATATATATATTTATAGAAGTATATATATAATTATAATAAATTTATTAATATCTACCAGGGTCTACCAGAGTCTACTAAGGTCTACCAGGATTTCGTGGCACTCACATCGAGAGAGATGTGATGTAAGTCGTTTCGCGGCACCCACATCGAGACCCTAGTAGACCCTGGTAGACCCTGGTAGATATTAATAAACTTATTATAATTATATATATACTTCTATAAATATATATATATAATATAAAAATTTTGAATTATTTTGTAATTCATTTTTTTTTAATTACTTTGTAATTCATTTGCGTCATCCAGTGCATCTTTTTAAGAAATAAATGAGATCAAATGTCTAATTATTAATACATAATTGAGAGAGAGTCCCTCCCCCCCAAAGAAAAAAACACCAAAAATATGACTATAGGTATAATAACTATACATAATTATCAAAACTATTTATAATAAAATAAAATAAAATCTTAGATTGGTTTGCTATCGAACTCTTTTCTACCGATGCCAAGGGTATTTTTTTTTATTTAAATTCGCAATATAACAAGAATAAAAATAAAATAAGTTTCACGGTTCAAAATTATTTGAATCTAATGGATGAGCAGAATCATCATATTCATCATTAATAATTATAGTTGGATTTTTTCCCATTGTTTGTGGATGACGATTATTAGTAGTATAATGATTAATACGACGATGATTCATTATCATAGGTTGATGATAACGATAATATTCGTCATCAAAAAATTGACTTTCATCATCTTCTAAACCTGAACAATGTTCTTCATCTTGTTCGTCTTCACCACCATCAAATGCATTTTGACCTGGTCGTTTTATTTGTGCACTTGCAGGTGGTGATGGAGCCGATGGACGTTTTATTGGTGATATAATACGATCACCAGGTGATGTGTATGTTGCTGCTCGATATGCTGTATTTGTAGTACATTGTGGTAAATCTTCATCAAGATCCATAACATCTGAAACTGTAGGTAACATATGACGTTTATTAAGTGCTGGTAAATATACTCGTTGTGTTGTTGGAGCAAAATGATTAAAAATTTGTTTTTTTGATTCAGTTTGTTTAGGTTGTGTTAGAATTGTTTCTGTACGAAAAAATGTACTATTCATTGAAGTATTATTTGGTACAGTAATATCAGGTAATGGTGGATACTTTTTTATAGGTACATCGATTGAATCATGATCTGTATTATTTGGAATAATAAATGATTGTTCACGTACAATTTCACGAAAATCATCAATCGTTGAACGAACTATAGGCATAGTTGCTGTTGTTGTTGTATTTGGATGATTTTGTTGAGATATTGAACCATTTGTCATTGTTAAACGTGGAGTATTAGTAGTATTACTCGACATTGTCATATTGGTATATCTAAAAAGTAAGCATAACAATTCATGTTATGTTTATTGTAGAAATAACCTTTTTTCGATTATGTTTTCACAAAGTCTTTAGAAAATTAATAACAAAAAGTAAAGGAATGTAACAAAACTCTGTGCTTGTAACGACTCAATACCTCAAAAATCCATCAAATTTTCTAGAGATATTCAACAAACAAGTGTCAAGAATAACTCATATGGCAACGATAAATTTTCTCTAGACTTTTATTCTATATACTTAGTTTTTTTTTCTTGTTTAAAACAGCTTGCCAGTATAGAAGGAGTAACAAAAACCTTTTCTTTTCTTTTTAATTTTGATTTTTTGAGGGATAAAGAGTTCAATGTCCTGCAAACATATCAAAAAAAAATGGCACTCTAATTATAATAGTAACAATGCTTAATTAAAAGAAAAAAACGTACTCTATCGTGTCTTGCACCTTGACATGCTCTCTCAAACAAAAGAAAAGCAATTGAGTATAATCAAGCTGTTGTCAGAATTCTTTGAAGCGTGATCAAAAAAATGTAATAGGGAAAAAACGAAAACGATTTTTTTGTTTTTTTCTGAAAACAACATATTTATCAAGTAGATGATGACAGAAGTCATCAAAACAAAAAGTATCAAATAAAAAAGAATCATATCATTTATGAAAAATCAGGCCTCAGGCTATTCTCCCATGCATTTATTTTAATTTTGATTGTTCTGACGAAAATTGACTTTTTTTTTAAGAGGTAGGAAGGGGGTGGAGCTTAAATAATATTTTATAAGTTTTATAAAACAAAAAAAATATTGTATTTTGTCTTAAAGTAACAAATTTAAATACTAAATATTTGTTTTTTTTATTCTCATCAAACACTTTTATAATCATAAAAAAATATTTTGTCATGTTTTTAATTATTTTTTTCTTCTGTCTTTTTAACTTTTAAATAATAAATATTCTCTATTATTAATTAATTATGATAATAAAATAATTAAATTTAAAATCATTAATATTTAGCTATATCATTTACCTTGGAACTTAATGACCAAATTTATTTAGTGCAAAAAATATTTCATGAATAAATAAGGTATGTTTATGTGCACATACACACGCAATCAACCGTCGATCGACTACAAAACAAAAGAAAAAAAGATGATGATGATGATGTGAATTGAATTTTTTTTTTTTTCTTTTCTTTCGTTGGCAATTTTATTTTTACATATGCTGTTCTTTCAAGACAACAGTAGCAAAAAAAAAGAAAAAAAAAAGAAAGAATAAGAAAATAGGGTTACTAAAACAACAATGAAAACATAGGCAAAAGACAGAAACAGTGCCATAAACAGAAAATCCGTTCATATGGTTTTATATTAAAAAAGAAAAGAATGACAACTTAATAAGAGAAAAAAATCTTCGGATTATTTTTTTTTTTTATTTACATTAATTGAAATTCAAGTTATGCTTTTCTTCTACTGAGAATATTTTTTTTATAAAAAGGTAATAACACATAACAAGTATGGTAGAATATAAGCTGTTCTTATATAATTTAAAGTCGAAGCCATATGAATTTGTGTAAGCATAAATTAATGAATAAAGTTATGTTATACGACAAGTTCTCATACAAATATTTGATTTTCACAAGTTTTGAATAGAAGAATTATGAACATTATTTGTTTAACTACACTTGTTGGGTGCCTCAGAGAAAATAGACTTCACAATATTTAAATTATATCTCTTTTAAATTATAGGATAAAAATTTTTGTAAAATAACTTTTTTTTATTCAGTACAATAACTAAAACCATCTTAAATTGAACGATCAAATAAATTTAAATGTGAATTATTCAGTGGTCAATGTCGCTTGTTTATGAAAAGAATAAAAGTTCTACTAACATAATTATTGATTGTTACTTGAATAACATATTATGTGCTTTTCAACGTGATCTAATCATGTCTCATAGTCAAAAATTACCATCAGTATCAGATTGAAGATTTCTTCAGGGCAATGCAAAATCTCATATTACTCAATTAACACAATAATGATGTCAGAAGAAAGGTGATCTCTATTATTGTACTGAGTGGAAAAAAAAATAGCGATAAAAGATATTCTTATGAAAAAACTAAAGCTTGAAATTTTACAAAATTTGATAGCAAAATTGTTTTACAAAAAGAATAATAATCCAACCTATTTATATTCATAACAAACACATCGTTGTGTAGAAAATTAAAAGACAAATATTAAAAGAGACATAATTCAAAGATTGAAAGGCTCGTTTTCCTTGGGATATTCGATATTATAGAAGATATGAAACAAAAAAAGAAGAGATGATATTACACGTATAAGCCCATCGACTGAGCCTTCGTCATCAAAGATTACGTAATTGAGCCATGACATAAAAATAGATATCTGATTTTTAAAAATTTCCGACGTTCCATATTAGTTTTGCCAGATATTACCGTCTGATTTCTTACCAGTAAGTTCTTTACTATCGTTTTCTCGTTTTTTTCCTTTCAAAATTCCAGTTGTGATTGCGGATCAATGCACTAATTTACATCTCTAAATGAGACTGATCCTATTTGACTATTTTTTATTAGATTAACTCATCAGATTGAATCGTGTTAAAAACTCTAATAATTTCTTTGAACCGTTCGTCACACTAAATTGAAAAATCGAGTTGTATCCATCGTTTGTATAAAACTAGCATTTCGTACATAAGACGGAGCAAGTGCTTTTTTGCCAAATATGAATAGTTCCATAGTATGGGCTGTTATAGACAATATTTAATATCGGCAAGTGCATAAACAGTGTTAACAATAAGATCGGACTTAAAAAATGAGTTTTGTGTATGTATTAACTTTAGTAGTGATACTGTCGATGTAGGATGAATTAAAAGCAGTCATCAGTGCAGCTCGACCAACAAGAACAATTGATGCAGCTTCTGGATCAAAAAAGAATGTTGAAATCTGAATTCAAATCGACTTGATGCAATGAACCAGTAACCTCAATGTAAAAAAATTAATCTTAAAAAATGTAAGAAAGTGTGTTTCGCAAAAGTAAAACTGCAGAAAATACAAGTAGTGATAAAGAATCATACAGAAAATTGTTATTGACAGTAAGTGCGTGGGTACGCATCTTCAGTTCTCTCATTGACACATTTTACTCTTTGGAAGTTTGTTGACGAGAGAACCCGTCACAATTGACGCGTGCCATTTTGGTTCATATTGAATGTACATGTTGATCTCTGTGAGGCTAGCAAAATCCTTAAAGGGTTCGTCTCTATAGGCATTTGTTGTCAAATTATAATCGGTCTATTGGATTTCCAAAAATGGTCTTTTCCTACGGACATGTCACAAATATGTAGTTCACTTGAGAATTCAATTATTCGACGAAAGAATATTCTTTTCGACTAAAACTTTCAGAGTATTCTAAGAATTATTTGACCTATCTATAAGCAAACTCTTAGATCAAAACTTCGATATTCAGTCTTGCGGAAAGTACTTGTAAATAGATCAAGAAGCTAGTAAACCGCTCATAAGTTGGCACCGAAGATCAATGGAGACGAACCTTTTTTGATTTTTTCTAGCCTCACTGAGAGCTACCTGTCTGTCCAATATAAGCTTGAACTGTGGGTATCACTTCAGATAGTTCCATAGTGAGTGTACGTGCGAACATTTTCTTAGACAAATGTAGACCATTCTAATACAATAGTTCTTTCTTTATACATATATACATCATAGTAGTAACATCCTGATCTAATCGTTTACTAATGAAAAGGAATGATATCCTATAGTAATCTTCGTACATCGAAGAAATATGTCCTCTTTTAAAGTGATCTTCAGATTTCAGAATAGCTTCTTCCTATGTATATCTGCTCCTTAATTTATTAATCTCGATAAATGACTCGTTAGGAACATTTACTGTTCTCCTGTTGGACATTTCCTTAATTAATCAGTGTCACAAACAATTTTTGCTTTCACAACAGTAAACATGCTATCAAAACTACCATAAAATTTATTGTTGATTTATCGACAATGATTGCTTATCAAGTTATCTATGAAGAGTAGCATTAGTACAGTTATTTACTAGAGCAATATTTGTTTCTAAGAAACCGCCTTGTATAAGAATTTCTTTGACATTACATGCAAACATTGAATTTAATCTTAGTACTAAAGCAATATTTGTCAACAATCCGAGAGCTAATATTGACACTTGACAAGGATAAGTAAGAACTTGTTCGATAAGAATATTGATTGCATTCTGTGTTGAATTTCCACCGGAAGGATCTTGACCAGCAGCTTCAGCCGTTAAATTTTGTTCTGCAAATGCTTCTCCCCATGGAATTTTTCCATGAAGTCTTTACTATGTTTCCATATGAAATACAGTATTTAAAAGTGGATATACAGCATCTTTATAAACATGAATTTTATTATTAAGATTACTTAGTTCAAGAAAACGTAATGCATGTAATGTCATTTGATCTAATCAACTATTCCCAAGTACTACAGTGAGACCGAGTACTTCTATCTTAGCATCAAGTAAAAGTAAAATAAGAATAAATGATGTTAGATCAAACCAATCATTATCAACAATAACTTTACTGGATTTTGTTGAATCGAAAACTAAAATTATAGAACGCAATACTGGCAGATAGATAAGCTTAAAAAAAGAAAATGATTGTCACGTCTTCGATAGTGAATATAAATATTTTACTAAGAGATATTAGAGATTGGCTATTATTTTTTCTTTCCACTGCATCATCTGTACATTAAGGTTTCTGTTTTCGTTTTGATTCTATACTCATGTATCTTCTTCTTACTACGTAGTACATTATTAATTTTTGTGCTTTAGACATTCAGTCTTAAAGACTATATATGAATGGAACTACTAGAAAAAAAAAGAATTTCTCTCAACATGTCTTATTTATTTTCTTACTTTGATTTTTGAAGTTTATAACGTTATTAATAATAAGACATATCACGTTTGTGTTTTGTAGAGTAATTGTTGTTGTTGG